AGCCATATCTGGCCAATGGTACTTCCTCTTGAGTAAGCCCATCGTCTTGGGCACTCCGCCGTGTCCCGCAAGAGGTCCGTCATGACACTCTTCTAAGGCCACCTTCCTTAGTTCCCCTTCTGGAACATACACCCTCGTTTGCTTGTAATAAATGAGTCCGTTGCGTTCCGCATAGCCCATTTTCTCTTCCGTTGGCAGCTCACCTCTCTGGTGAGCTTCCCGCGCCTCTAGATTCCTCAGCAACACTTCTTGTGCTAGACCATCATTCTCATATGCTGTCCGCACATCGTCCCAGAAGGTTGCTGTTGCGCTGGATATTGCCAACTTCAAGCTCGCTTTTCGACTTAGCGCATCCGCCACGATGTTGCTCTTCCCAGGCTTGTACAGAATTTCGCAATCAAACTCGGCCAAGGCATTGGCCCACCGACCTTGTTTCCCTCTTAGGTCGGGCTGTGACAAGAAGTGTTTCGTCGCCACATTGTCCGTGTAAACCTTGAAGTGTCTCCCAAGGTAGTGTCGCCACTCCTTGAGTGCCTTGACCACCGCAAACAATTCCTTCTCATGGGCAGGCCACTTCCGTTGAGCCTTGTCCAGCTTCTTCGAGAAGAACGCTACCGGATGGTTGTCTTGCTTCAGAACTGCGCCCAACGCAAAGTCCGAAGCATCCGTTTCTACCTCAAAGTCCTTACCAAAGTCTGGCAATGCCAATACGGGAGCCTTCCTCAACTTCCCTTTGAGGTGGACGAATGCCGCCTCGCATTCTGCTGTCCATACCATCTTCCCTTTTCCTGTTTGGTCCGTTAAGGGCAGGGCTACTCTCGAATAGTGTCTAATAAACTTTCGATAGTAGTTGCATAGCCCCAGGAACGCCCTCAACTCATGTACATTCGATGGTCGCTCCCATTCCTGGATCGCTTGGACCTTCTCCGGGTCCACCTTGAGCCCGTCCTAGCCCACCACATGCCCGAGAAACTTTACCTCTTGTTGAGCAAAGTCACATTTGCTCTCTTTAGCATACAGCTTGTGTTCCCTTAGTTTCTCAAACACCTTCGCCAAGTGTTCGGCATGCTCTTCTAGCGTCTCGCTATAGATCAGGATGTCGTCGATATAGACGACCACGAAGTGATCCAGATAGGGTACAAAGACGTGGTTCATTAGCGCCGAAAACGTTGCCGGCGCATTACATAGCCCGAAGGGCATCACCAGAAACTCAAAGCTCCCATACCTCGTTCGACAGGTTGTCTTCTCGACATCTTCCTCGGCTACCCTGATCTGGTAGTATCCTGACCTTAGGTCAATCCTCGAGAAGTATTTTGCCTTTCCCAACCTATCGAACAGGTCCTCAATCCTTGGCAAAGGGTACTTGTTCTTCTTTGTATACTTGTTGAGCAAGCGGTAGTCTATGCACATGCGCATAGATCCATCTTTCTTTTTCACAAATAACACCGGCGCCCCATACGGCGACTTGCTCAACCTAACATACCCTTTGTCCACCAACTCCTCTAGTTGGCACTTGAGCTCCTTGAGTTCTTTTTCGTTCAAACGATAAGGGGGACGAACCACTGCCTCAGCACCCTCGACCAGCTCAATCTTATGTTCTATTGGTCGTGCTGGGGGCAGCCCCGCCGGTAGCTCCTCCGGCATGGTATCCTGGAATTGGTCCAACACCCGCTGGATCACTAAAGGCACTTCTTCCGTTCTTGTCTTTTTGTCACTCTTCACCGAGAGTAAGCACAAAAAGGTTGCCTTAGTTCCTTTAGTGAGTTGTCCTCTCGTGGACACCAGGTTTAAGCAGGATTCTTTGGCCTTGCTTTGCCCTACCTTTAGATCCTGGGCTTCCACCCTAGATCTTCTTCCTTGGGCATTCGCCAGTACCACAAGGTTCCTACCTTGTCCATGTAGGGCTACCACGAACCGATTGAACCAATCCATTCCGAAGATCACGTCAAATCCCGCCATGTCCAACACGGTGAAATCCATGTCTACCTTCCATGTCCCTACTTCGACTTTCGCTTGTCGAAGTACCTCATCGGTGCTTTGGCTACCTTGAACAAACTCTATAGTCCTTGGTTCGCCTAGCCGCTGCACCGTTAGTCCGGCTTGCCGGACTATGTCTGCAGCCACAAAATTATCCGAAGCACCCGTGTCAATAAGGATCTTAACAAAGCTACCTCCGAGCTTCCCTCGGAGGGCTAGTAGATGTCGCGAACGACTCTCTACCAAAGTTGCTCGTGTAATGAGTAACTTTGAGTTAGGGACTGGATCACATACCTCATTTTGGACTTCGCCCGACTTGATGGCCATATTGGCTCTGGCCTTCTTCGGGTAGGGACATTCCCTCGAAAAGTGTCCCGCTTCACCGCAGTTATAGCATACGTTGTTTCCCACGCTGCTATATGACTTGACCTTCTTATCCGTGGGTTTGTCTCTTTTCGCTTGACTCCCCCACGTACTTGCTCGCTGGCCACCGGATTTGCCTTTCCGAAATCCCGAGGACTCATTCTTAGAGAAACTCTTCTTGAATTTCCCCCTGCTATATGTTCCCCTCGGTTTGGCCCCTTTGTGAAACGTGGATCCCGACCCCGTCGTGTTCCCCTTTCGCAGGTTATCGTTGAAATGCACCTTGATGGCCGCATCCAACGCTTCCTTGTAGTTGGTCGGGTTCCAGCGCATCACCTCACCGCGAGCCCAGGTTTGCAAACCTGATATAAAGGCATGGAACGCATCCATATCCCCCATGTCGGTGACAAGTATCCTCTTTGCCATGAACCCATTCACATATTCCTGGATGGTTCCAGTCTGCTTCAGCCTACTCAGCTCATCTCTCAGATGCAGAGTGGCATTCGGAGGAACGTATGTCGCGCGGATCCTCGCCTTCATCATGTCCCAGGTGGCCACCGGTCCTTCGTTGGCCTCCGTTGTTCTCTACCAAGACTTGGCATTATCGGCCAAGTATGGTTTTGCACATGGGACCTTCTCCGAGCTCGGTAACCGTAACGCTCGGAAGTAGTCCTCCATATCGTAAAACCAATCCTCCACCACCTTATAGTCGTTCACTCCCTTGAACACCGGTGGGGGCTTTGGTTTGTACTTGGGAACTGCCTGAGGGACTGATTCCACTTCGGTCTGTTCGACCTTGTCTGGTTTTGCCTCAGTCCCTGCCGAAGGGTCCGCACCTTCTGCGCTGCCAGCATCCGCAGTCTTTCGCCTTTTCTTCCGTTTCTCGTCACGCTTTAGCTTGCGTACGAGAGTCTCCAGCAGGGCATTGGTCTGCGCCAATTGACCTTCTAGAACGTCCAATCGAGCCTTGGACGACCGAACCTCGCCACCGGACTCCTGTTTGGAAGTTTCCTCACTAGAGTCCTCCTCATGCAAGGATTCCTCATCCATAGCCTCTTGTTCGACCGGAGGCTCCAGCTCTGGCGGAGGTTCTGTCTCCGCCTGGGTTCGCTTACGCCCTGCCCTTGCCATCTCCCAGCAATCTGCCTCTCTCCTTCGCTAGAACTGAGGAGAAGGCTCCGATACCAAATGTAAGGTCCTGAGTTTGGACTTCCCGGGAGGTCACCCAGCCCAGTACTATTCAAACCCAAGGACGCTTAACCCCAAATATCCCAAGACCCTTAACCGATTGGAAAAGGGGGTGCACTCTTGTTCATGGGCCCTTTCCCTCTATATTTGAACCCCATGGATCGTCTCTCAAGTCGTTCCCTTTGGTTGCTTACAATGGCATGCACTTTGGTTTGTGCTCAGAGTTTTATGGTTTTCAATGTGTGCCACATTGACACGTGGCATGTGCTTTGGTGAGTTTTATGGTTTTCAATGTGTGTCACATTGACACGTGGCATGCCCTTTGGCTTGTTCTCATAGTTAGAGTTTAGCGTCCTTGTATGCCATGTGAAATACATATGTTTGGACTTGCTTGCCATGCCACGTGGTGACAGTCACAACACATTCTTTGTGACTTATATCCTAGTTAATAACTAACTAATGACACAATTTGGCAAACATACCTTACATTGACAATTGTAAGTAGTATTTAAGGACCATACACTTATATGCTATGGAAAAATACTCAAAGTTTATATATTAAAACAGTGATCTTACAAAAATAAATGACTTGTAAGGAAAAAAACAAAAAGAGGGGGTCACTTGGACTTCCCGGGTGGTCACCCAGCCCAGTACTATTCAAGCCCAGGGACGCTTAACTTTGGAGGTCTGATGGGATCCAGTGCCATAGTCACGGTTTGAACCCACTCTGAAATATTTCACACTCCCCCTACTCTTATAGTGTGGGGCAGCTTGATCCAAAGCTGCAGCGTACCTCCACAATCCCGTGTTCTTTCTGGGCGCCAAAAAGCACGCCCGCGGGACATGTGGTACCTCCCCAACAATTCACGAAGACCGCGTTTTGGGGCCCAAAACGCGCGCTGCAAAATGTGGGGTACCTCCCCGACTTTTCGTGAAAAATCGCGTGTTTTGGGCCCCAAAAAAAGCCCGCGGAACACGTGGTACCCTTGCAACTTCTCGCGAAAAATCGCGCGTTTTGGGCCCCAAAACGCGCCCCGCGAAATGTGGGGTACCTCCCCGACTTTTCGTGAAAAATCACGCGTTTCGGGCCCCAAAAAAAGCCCGCGGAACACGTGGTACCTTTCCAACTTTTCGCGAAAAATCGCGCGTTTTGGGCCCCAGACATTCCGGGCCACTTTTTTTTCCCCCTCCCCCCCTTTTCCGTGCCACGTGGCAGGCGGGCAGGGCCTTCCCCCCCTCCCTCACGCACGCGCAGGCTGAGGCTCAGCCTGCGCCTTCTCCGTGCGCTTCGGGCCCGGGAGAGTCCTCCCCCCTTCCTCCCTCCGTCGCACGGCAGGTGGGGGCCCCTCCCCTTTCCCGCCGCGTGACGCTGGCCCTTGCCAAGCAGCCGTGCCGCCCCCGAGGCTCGCCTCCCTTGGAAGCCCGGAGGACCACACTGCTGCCTCCCTCCCCCTCGCCCGACAGGCGTGCGGATGTGGTCCCAAGGCCATGCCCATGGACCGCACAGCACGACTCTGCCAAACGCTGGAGTGGGTGCCAGGGAAGCCACACCGAGGCTCTCCGCAGCTGAGAACCCTTGCACAACCCCACCCCCCATCAATACTGGGGAGGCCCCCCCCACGCCACCGGCCAAAGGCCACGAGCACTCACACATGCGACACTGCCCAGGCATTCCACGTCGGGAGTTCCGCGTCTGGATTGCCGATCGGGTAACACCTGGACGGATGCTGCACGTGCTTGCCACCAGAGCAGCTGAGCACCGTTTCCTTCGGCCGGTGGGCACGGGAAGCCCACAAGGTGAGGCACACAAGGGGAGCCATCGAAGCGCCACGACATGACCCTGGCAAGCGAGCCAACTCTCGTTTGTATGGGAAGCAGAGCTGGGCAGCCGCAGTTCAACCCCAGCTGCCCGAGAGCCTCCACTCCCCACCCATCATCCTACAGGTAAGAAAGTCCCTCCTCTTTCTGGGACAACAGCTTTTGGCTATTTGTCCCAGTCCGAGTTCAAGCTTGAGCGTGAGCAGGAGCCAAGTCCAAACGCGAGCCTGAGCAAAAGCCCGAGTACGTGCTCAAGCCTGACTTCAAGCCCAAGTCCAAGCAGGCAGGAGCCCGCGCATGCCCTGGAAGTCCAGCAGGGGGTGTGGAGAGGTCTGACCTCGGCTGCCCACACTCCCATCCCCCACTATCCTTCCAGAGCTCGCAGCCTACCACGCCCCAGGGAGACAAGCGCTTTGGGCTTTCACCCCCACGTGTCCACGTCCGAGCCGGAACCCGAGTCCGAGATGGAGCCCGAGTCCGACCCCGACATGGTGCACGCGGGGAGGAGCCCAGCAGCAGCCCGCACATGCACTGGAAGTCCAGCTGGGGGTGTGGAGCCGGGCACCCGAGGTCTGACCTCGGCTGCCCAACACTCGCATCCCCCACTATCCTTCCGGTGCTCACGGCCTACCACGCCCCAGGGAGACAAGCGCTTTGGGCTTTCACCCCCACGTGTCCATGTCCGAGCCGGAACCCGAGTCCGAGATGGAGCCCGAGTCCGACCCCGACATGGTGCACGCGGGGAGGAGCCCAGCAGCAGCCCGCACATGCACTGGAAGTCCAGCTGGGGGTGTGGAGCCGGGCACCCGAGGTCTGACCTCGGCTGCCCAACACTCGCATCCCCCACTATCCTTCCGGTGCTCACGGCCTACCACGCCCCAGGGAGACAAGCGCTTTGGGCTTTCACCCCCACGTGTCCATGTCCGAGCCGGAACCCGAGTCCGAGATGGAGCCCGAGTCCGACCCCGACATGGTGCACGCGGGGAGGAGCCCAGCAGCAGCCCGCACATGCACTGGAAGTCCAGCTTGGGGGTGTGGAGCTGGGCACCCAAAGGTCTAGCCTCGGCTGCCCAACACTCGCATCCCCCACTCGCATCCTTCCAGTGCTCGCGGCCTACCACACCCCAGGGAGACAAGCACTTCACCCCAGGGAGTCAAGCACTTCACCCCACGCGCTCGAGCCTGAGCCCAAGCCCGTGTTGCCCGGGTCCGTCGGGCTAGGGAAAGCCGTACCCCTCGGTTTTATTCCTTCGGTGGGTGGGACAAATCGGTGGGACAGAGGGATGAACCTCAGCGGATCGTAGCAGCAAGGCTACTCTGCCACTTACAGTACCCCGTCCCCTATTTAAGTCGTCTGCAAAGGATTTATCTCCTCGACCGTTCGAAATTGGATTTCCAAGCCGCGCCCCCGGGGCAGCATCGGCCCCGGGGGACGGCGCTCGCGTCATGTGTTCTCGGGGGAGCACGGGGCCCCCCTAACCTTAATCAGGTAACAGCTGAGGAGGTAGAGAGCACCGCATCTAGCACGGATTCTGACTTAGAGGCGTTCAGTCATAATCCCACGCATGGTAGCTTCGCGCCACTGGCTTTTCAACCAAGCGCAATTACCAATTGTGCGAATCAACGGTTCCTCTCGTACTAAGTTGAATTACTATTGCGGCACAGCTCATCAGTAGGGTAAAACTAACCTGTCTCACGACGGTCTAAACCCAGCTCACGTTCCCTATTGGTGGGTGAACAATCCAACACTTGGTGAATTCTGCTTCACAATGATAGGACGAGCCGACATCGAAGGATCAAAAAGCAACGTCGCTATGAACGCTTGGCTGTCGCGCATGTGACTTTGGGTATCGAAAGTTACCTGTCGACCAGTCCTTACGGACACTCTTACCTTACTGCCACGATGGCAGGAGGTCGGTATTGCTGGACCCTTTATTAGTCCCTCTTGTTCAAGTGTTAGTAAACTGGACTTTGCATCTGTACTTGGCCGGATGAGCATAAGGAAGGAATTCCTAAGTGTCTATTTAGCTGAGCATACTCGGCCCGGCTTGTTAGTTCTCTTTTGCTCTGTCTTGCACTGGCTTGACAAGAACCCTCGCGTATTGAGATTGGTCCCTCAATATCGCTACATGATAGCTTACCGTGTCTGCCAAACACCCTCGCTATCATGCCCTTTGTGTTAGTCTCAAATTGTCCTAGATGCTATTTATGGAAAGTGTCTAGATTTGCTCATTTGGCATATCTACGGAATGTAGAGGTCGGCCTGAACACAATGGTGTTCGTCCTGTGTCCAAATTCGCATTCTAAGGACATTCCATATTTAGTAAGTTTTAAACTTGTCCCAGAGACTAACTCCTGATACTAAGGGAGGCTTGGGGTGAAAGCCCAAAGCGTGTGTTCCTCAAGGGGGGGGGGCTATGGGGGGTTCCAAATGTATAGTAGGGATAGTGGGTAGGTCGGGCATGGCCGACCAACCTGAGGCATAGTCTAGCTCCCGCTTGCGTGCCTGTCCTTGTTCTGCGTCCGGCTTGGGTCTAAGCCCAAGTTCCATTCCATGCTAGTTGGTGGAGTACCCATATCCTCACGTTAGGCCACCGGTATGCCGAAATAGCGCCAGACTCCGTTTGGCTCCGTTTTGCGTGCTGGTCCTGGCATTGGTATGCTGGTTGCTCCAGGACTGTTCCAAGTCGCTCCGGGCTCCTGTCCCTTCGCTCCTTGGGCTATATGCTCAGGAGTTGCTCTGTGGTCCGGTTCCATCACTCCTTGGCGTCACGCTTGGGAGTTTGGCACCGTTCCTTCGTTCAGTGGCCCAAGGCCCTGAACCTCGGGTTCCTATGGACACGTGGCACGGACACGTGGCATGTGACACGTGGCATCTGTCACGTGGCACAAAGAGGGTTTATGTTCCGCTTCGTGGTGTTATCCTATGGTAAATCACCATAGGATAAAGGGTCAAAACCACGTGCGCTACATTTGGTATCAGAGAATGAGTCTCAGCGAGTACTATTCAATGAGATTGGGGAACTAGTCTCGTTGCATACGCAGAGATGAAAACGATGATCCGAGTGGGTACACGTTTGGGTGCAAAGACTTCGCAATCGTTCCTTGGGTATAGATTCGGTTACCTTCTTGTACCGTAATTAAGTGAGCTTGCGCTTGGGCTCATAGGATGGTTTGGAGATGTTCCATTTGCACGAGTTTGAGCTTGGGCTCGTGAGTGAGGCGCATTAGCAACTCAAAGTTATACTTTGAGTTGGCAGGATTAATGTAAGCCTATCGATGGTTCCAGTGGTTCCATGAGTTGTTCCATGTACCGTGGGTGAAAGCAAACCTCCCTAGGTTTGCTATGAGTGGCAAATAGGCTGGTCTGTAATGGTTTAGCACGGCACTAATTCCTCTTTTTTTCTTTCTTTTTTTTTTTTTTTTTTTCTCTTTTTTTTTTTTTTTCTCTTTTT